AATGTGGCCTCATTAGATCTACTTTTTGTTCCTCATGTTCTGATATTTCACAGGAATAATGGATCTTTTTTAATTCTTTGGCTTGGGTATTTGGTGAACCCATTTAATATCCTGTTCTGGGAAATTCTCTTCTGTCAACCCACTCTTTTCTCTCTTCTTTTTTAAAACTCCTATTAGCCATCTGATCTTTTAAAATCTTATTTGTACTCTTTTTATTTTCTACATCTTTGGGTTTGATCTTTTTAACAATCTTCTGATCTTTTAAAACCTTATCTGTTCTCTTTTTTCTACATCTTTGGGTTTTTGTTCTAGTTTCTGGGAAATGCCTTCAACTTTATCTCCTGGAATTTCTATAAACTAAAAAACTCACTGCCATCAAGTCCATTGCAACACATAAAAGCCCTTACAGGACAGAGTAGAATTGCCCCTATGGATTGCTGAGACTGGAACTCTTTACAGGGCCAGAAAGCCTTTTCTCCTGCAGAGCAGCTGATGGTTTTGAGCGGCTGACCTTGGGGTTAACAACCCAGTATGTAACCCACTACACCACCAGTGCTCCTCTAGACATTTTAAGTTTTCAGTTATCATATTTTTAATTTCTAAGAGTTCTAGAAGCTCTTCTAATTCCTGGTAGCATAGTGGTTATATGTTGGGCTGCTAACTACTAGGTCAGCAGTTCGAAACCCCCAGCCACTCCACAGGTGAAAGGTAAGACTTTCTACTCCTATAGAGAGTTACAGCCTCAGAAACTTGTAGGGGCAGTTCCACCCTGCTCTACAGGGTCGCTATGAGTCAGATCAACCTGACAGCAGTGAGTGAGAAGAGCTCTTCCTCACATTTTATTGATTTTATTAGCATTCTGTGGTGGTGTTGTAGATGGGATGCAATCTCTTTTTATCCATCTGAAGACAATAATTATAGGCTTCCTTCTCCTTGAGTTGTCCATTTTTCCCCTTAAATTTTTTCTGCTCCTTGAATGAATTTGTCATTTGTTTCCTTCAAGTCCTTTACATTTTGGGTTGGTTTTGATCTTATGTGTTGGAAGCTCTCCACATATCTGTCTGTTCACCCTAAGAAAGTACAAGCTGACCAGAAGCAGAAGCAAAAGCAGAGCTTAGGGGCTGCTGGCTTCACCAAAAGGTAATCAGAAGGGTCCCAATTTGCTGGAGGGTCTCAAAACATCAATTAGCGGGTCTCTTCTCTTAGCCTACTTTTACCTTAACAGGCACCAAACCTAACAGTTGTCATTCTGGCTGCCGAGTGGAAGGACAAGCATCACATTTTTACTTTAGCATGTCACCACCATGCTAAACTTGATCTTGCCAATTCTTTCAGAGAACACATTGTGCTTCTCCTGGAAGGGTGGGGAAAGAGCAACCACTTGGCTATGAAGGGGAGGAGAAACATGACCTTCCTTAGAAAGATTGTCAGTATTAACGACAGAGCACTCTTTCCAGTCCTGCTCACTTGTCCCCACACCTCAAGGTACCCTATGCCCTCTAATTCCTAAGTTTGTCTACCATTCTAGCATGCCTTCTCCCTTCTCATCAGGACTTGTGGTAGTTACATAATCTGGTGTCAATTTGGGACTAGCAAGGATTAAGAGTCTAGTCTGTCAATGGGTCATAACCAATGAGACATCTGCAGGGGCATGGCTTTCTCCTGAGGATTTTGGGAAATCCAGTTTTTCCTCCTTGGAGGCAGGAGAGACACCTCTCTCTCTCTGCTCACTCCCTGGGAGACATTGCAGCTGACAAGACACATGGAACTACGCGAGTGCCCTGAACTGGAAGAAGCTACACGGAACTACCCTGATGCAACCAGACCTCTGAAGCCAGAGAGGCCACACAGAGACCCTGCCAGTGTTGAGATGCTTACAATGCCACTGGATCTAAAGACTTTCTACCCACTGGCCTGTGATCGGCATCATTGGGTGTGTTTCATGAGTCTGATGAGGACTTTAGGGATTGGTATCGGACATGAATGTGCAATTACCCTTCATATAAAACACTCCCTCATACTCATATGC